TATATATATATATATATATATATATATAATTACAAACTTTAAACGCTTAATGAAGGAAAAATCAAGAAAATAAAAACATAAAAAGTTACATATTAAGGAATGAAATTGGTATATAACATCCTTTTTAACAATAAATAAAACGATTTTAAAATTAGAAGAAAAAAAATATAATTTACCCATTACTTATCTCCATTCTCGCTATATCAAAGTCTCGCCTTTGCATGCAAAAGAGAAGAAAAAAAATGAAAAAGTTAACAATGAGGTACGCATGTGATGTATTGAAGAAACAAATAATAAAAAAAAAAAAAAAAAAAGAGTAGAAATATCAAATAGGAGAAATAAAAAATGAAAAGTAGGAAAAGAAAAACGTTAATTTACCGATATATGTTTGTTATTGAAGATGAACCCTTACGGCAGAGCCAACAATTGAGTTGAAAAATATTGAAGAATGAAGACGTGCAATGGATCGTTGTAGAGAAAAACAAAGAGAAGAAGGATATATATATATACTCATAATTCTTTTAATTACCTTAATTAAAACACATATAAATACAGACACACATGTTTATATTGTACATAATTACTTTAGTTATTTTATATCAGAATATATAGTTGCTGCATTTTCATATTCATCGTCATATCTTTAATTACTATACTTATATGTTTATATAAATTAAAAATAAAATAAAATTTTCTATGACATTTTGGAGAGAGAAAATTAATGTAATATTACCACATTATATGGATTGCTATTTATAAGTGGTATAAAGGTCGCTAAAAGCAAAATAGATTTCTTCAATATATATTTTTAGCTAACACATATTAATGAAATTTGAAGAAGAAATAAAGGAGTTTTAAAATATTTCAATATAATATTTAAAATATTCTTACTTTTATTTTTAAATTTAGAATTATAAGAGTGTAAGATAAATTAGATTTTAAAGTTTCTTTCTTTTCGTTATGAATCAAATAAAAAAAGAGTTACTTCTCTTCCTTTTCATTAATTTTTTTTCTCCTCCTCTCAACTAAATAGAATTCAAGATAAATAATATTAAAATTCTTACAATTTTATCGAATTTCATAATTAAATCCCTGCTCAACATTTACTAACACCGTCGCAATTTCGTTAATTTATCTAATTAAATATTGTCACATTGTAATAATATTAATAGATACTCCATTGACAATTTTTTATTACACTACAAAAAAAAAAAAATATATATATATATATATATATATATTATTCAGGATATATTTTATTATTAATGGATTTTATTCGGGATATATTAAAGAAATGAGTAATTCAATATATGTATATATTTTATATATTTTTATTATATTTCATATGTATATTTTGTCTAAATCTCTTATGGATATTAGTTATTATTTTTAATAGCGAATATTTTATACTAATAACATAATTATTAAGGAATATATTTATCTAAATAAAATGGTAATTATTTTTAAATATATATTAATAAAAATAACATAATTATATCTATGTCAATATATAAGGATTTAATTATAATATTTTTAAATTATATGGAATATTTTTTAATTTCAGAGAATTAGTTAAAAATTTGATGAAATTATAAAAATTTATTAATTAATTTAGCTTATAATTTATAATCATCTTTTTATTATACTAAAATCTCTCTTTTTTCTTCTCTTTCCGCTTGACAAAGAAAGAGAAAGGAGATAGTTTCTTTAGAAACGTTTTGGTTGATATTGAAAGTGTTGAGATATCTCTTTTGGATTGAAGAAGAATTGGAAGAAATGTACTGAATATTTAAATGAGAATGCCTGTTATTCTTTCATTCCTTTAGGTGAGCTTTGTTTTCCAAATAAATTAATTTCTTTTAATCTCTCATTCCTTTAGGTGAACTTTATTTTCTAAAAATATTAATTTCTTTTAAAGTCTAATCTCATTATAAGCTTTTAAAGACGTCAGTGATTCATGCCTCGTTTTACAATTGTGATGACATAGAGATGAAACTAAATGTTGATTTCCACAAATAAATTGGTTGAATTGAATTAAATAATTACCTCTAATTTTGATTGAATTCCAAGTGAGACACTAGTGAGAAATTATTGACCTGATTGAGGTTTTGAATTGTTCAATCTTTGATCTCTAAGAGATTTGTCAATTTGTTTTGGAATTGTTGAATATAGTGGGCACCATATGAACTTCAATGTTGAAAGTTCTTGATTCTTCACAAAAGGTTAACGAGAATTAGTGCAATTTTTAGTGCTTGTTGAATGTCTTTTAGGCATGATTTGCACTCAACTTTTGGTACTCTTTTTGGTAATTGTAAATATTATATATGCTATTTTACCCCTTAATTTAAAGAATCAAGTTATACTATAAGAGTAGAGGAGTAGTAGCAAAATCTTAAGGAATTTCTTCATTTTTTGCAGGATTTTTGGCAAGGCAGAGATCCACAGCCATAGCTGTGGATCTGGAGCTCGAGCTGTGGAAGTCTGGGAAGGAATTAGAAATCCAGAAAGTTGGAGCTATAGCTGTGGATCTGCAGCTATAGCTATGGATCTGCAGCTATAGCTGTGGAAATCTGAAATGCAATTTAAGCTCCAGAGAGTTGAAGCTAAAGTTGCGGACTCACAGCTAAAGCCATGGAAGCACCCAGGACCCAGAAAAAACTCCATAGATCCATAGCCATAGCTGTGGCTTTACAGTTGCAGCGCTTTCCTTAAGCTTGAAGGAGTTGTCACAGCTATAGCTGTGAAACCACAGCTGCAGCTTTGGAGGTTTCTTCCCCCTGAAGGACTCTCCCCAGCCATAGCCGTGGATCTACAACTGCAACCGTGGGAGTAAAAGTCACTTTTTGGCCCTGTTTTGAAGCTCATATAAAAGGGAAAAAAGGAAAAAACAGAGCATCACGAAACAAGAGAGAAGAAAACGGATTGAGGGACGTGAAGAAGGAAGAACGAAGGGAGAACAAAAATTTGGAAGCTGAATCCTTTGGGAACGAAGATCAACTCCATTTTTTCATCCTTTACTTTGTAATTTCTTCTTTCACTCTTTTGATCCTGTAATGGCCATGTGTGGCTAAACTCATTAAGGATTAGTTGGATGTAACTACTAACTCTTCTTCTTCTTAAATATATGCATTTTGATCTCATTATTTGTGCTTCATCCTTATCTTAATGCTTATATCGGCTTGATCATCCGTTGTATGATTTTTGGTTTTTGAATCCAGTTAGAAAACGTTTTTGAAAACCCGAACGGGATCTTGAACCTAATCATTTCTCGTTCTAGGAATAGACTTGATTTGGTTAGTCACATTGTTCAAGTCATTGTTCTTAATGCAAAGTGTTAAACTCAAAACATAAAGGAATCATGTTTGAGCTTAATGACTTTAGGATTCAACCTTGAGGAATCTTGTTGGATTACTTAATGAACGTGGAAATAATGAAATTGGAATCGCATTTATTTTAAGAAGATCTACGAGTTAGCAAGTACTCTGAACCAATCCTTGTTTATTAATCATTGTCTTTACTACTTTTATTTTATTGTGTTGTTTTACTCTATCTTTACTCATTTGCAATTATAACAACATTCTCTTTTAAATCGTTAGAGCAAGAATTACTAAACACTCAAATCCCTGAGGACGATATTTGAATACTACTTCGAAACTTGGTCTGCTTGCCAAGTGGTGTGTTTGAAAAAAAAAAAAACCTCATCAAGTTTCTAGTGCCGTTGCCGGGAATTTGGTGTTATTTAGTAGTTTCTGGCCCCGTTGCCGGGGATTTGGTGCTATTTAGTAATTCTTAATCTTGTGATTCTGTAATTGTGTAAATAATTCATTTTGTGAATATTTATAATATATAGAGATATTTGTCTTGTTGTGTTTTGTGGACTCACCTTGTTGTGCAGACTTCTTAAAAGTGTATGCGAGGGAAAACTCTAGCCGAAGAATTGCATTTTGATCCTGAAATTGAAAGAACGGCAAGGAGGAACAATAGTAGAACAAGAAACAGAAATGGCTGAAGAAGGAACAAGCACTCATAATGGTGGACATGGACCAGCTAGGCCTCCTAGAAGGACCCTAGGTGATTATGCACAACAACATGGTCCTAGGCATTTCTCTAGCATTGCAGCTCCAAATACTTTTAGAGCTATGGAGATGAAGTCTGCCTTCCTTACTTTAGTTAGCTCACAACAATTTGTTGGCCTTGTGGTGAAGGATTTTTCACTCTTGGCAAGCGGACCAAGCTTCGTTGTAGTAATTTGATATCGTCCTCAGGGATTTGGGAATACTAGTAATTTCCTTTCTTGTTTACAGAGAACATGAAGGAAATATTGATTTAAGTTTATAATAAAGCAATTAAAAGCAATAGTATGAATTTAATAGAAAACCTTATATGAGAAAGAGATTGGATTCAAATGTACTTTCTAACTCTTTTAATCTTCATCAAATAAATATGACTCCACTTCTATTACTTCCATGTTCAATAATTAACTCAACCAGATTCCTCAAAATTGAGTCCTAACAAAATCAAAATGGCTAACAAAATCAAGTCTATTCCTAGAACAAGAGATTATTAGGTGAATGATTCAGTTTAGGGTTTTGAAAATGTTTCCCAACAAAGTTCAAAAACCTAATATCATAAAATGGGTGATCAAATCGGATTAAGCATTAAGAGAAGAATCAAACACAAGTAATAGAACTGAATATCATATAGATCTAAGAAGAAATAGAGTTAGTAGTTACATTGAATCCAACCCAAGAGAAACTAGCCACTCATGGTGAGGGCCATAGCAAATAAAAAGATGATATTACACAATAGAAGAGAAGAAATGAAGATGGGTCCTCGTTCCCAAGCAAGCCAATCTTCAAATCTAATCTTCAAGCTCTCCTCTTCTCCTGGGTGATCTTTCTCTCTATTTTTCTTTTGTTTTGTTTCGTTTCGATCCCTTTTTTCCTTCCTTTTTTTGCCCTAAAATATGTTCTATCCAGGTGAAAGTTGGGATTTTTAACCCAAGGCTGCAACTCTGGATGTGTGGCTGCAGCTTTAGAATGTTGCAAGACGCACAAAGCTCCAAGGCTGTAGCTCTGGAATGGGGGCTGTATCTTTGAATTTCTGGACTGCCCAGAATGTTCCAAGGCTGGAGCTCTGGTTTCATGGCTGAAGCTTCAACTCTCTGGAATTGATTTAGGCTTCGTGGCTGCAGCTTTGAATCTGGAGCTATAGCCTTAACTCTCTGGAACACTTCTTTTTGGTTTAGGCTTCATGGCTGCAGCTTTGGCTTTGGAGCTATAGCCTTGGATTTCCAACTTCATCAAAATCTACACAAAAAGTAAATATTTTCAACCAAAGAAACTACACTCTTGTAACTCCTTAGATTAATCTTAGTTCATCTATTTGGAGGGTCAAATACAACCAAAATTACTTACATCTCTCCCAAAAAGAGTGCCAAATTAAGCATAAAAATATGCAATTTGAGCACTTATCACCTTGATCATGAGGACCCATATTCACACCTTTCAAATTTCTATGAGTTATGTGGAACAATGGGAATTCCTGAAGGTGATGAGGAAGCTGTATACTTGAGGTTGTTTCCATTTTCTATAACAGGAAAAGCTAAAGTTTGGTTACAATCTCACCCGAATCAAAGTTTGACAAGATGGGGTGATGTAGAAAACAAGTTTGTGAATAGAAAACAAGTTTGTGAATAGATTCTAAACCAAATCAAATATTTTTGAAATAAATCTTGGAGCAATTTGGAGACTTGGCCGTCTAGCATGTTGTCTTGTTCTTGGCCGAAATTTACTAAGTCTTCCTTCTAGTTTATGAAGCTTCCCTTCCAAGTTTCTAAACCTTGGTAGGTTGGGCTGACCTTACCATGGTTCTTAAGTGAACCATGGTCAAGGATAGCTTCTCCTACAAGTTTTAGAAACCATGGATGGTTAGCTACACCTTACCATGGTTTCTAGTGAACCATGGTTAAGGTTAGCTTCTCCTAGAAGCTACCTCTCCCTATATATTTGTAAAACCTTCTCTTGTATTCACTTTTGGACATTTATGAGAATTAGAAATCAGATTTCTCTCTCATTTTCAAGAGTCAATTTCGTGAGAAACCTCCTCCTAGGTTCTCTCTCAAGGTTCCTTCTCCTATAAGCTTGGTTTCTCAAGCTTCTTCACTTCTTCAAGAGGTAACCGAACCTCTCTTAGGTGCTTCTCCACCATTGGAGAATCCTCCAAGGTGATTCCGCCACCTTCAAGGAGTTCAACCTCATGGAGCATTTCAGTCCTTGCATGGAAAGCTTGGAAGAATATCAATCCTCTCCAAGTGGTTCCATCAAAATCAGAAATTACTACTTTCAGGCAAGGTGCAGATGAACCATTTTGTGAAGCCTGGGAAAGATTTAAGTCATTGCTCAGAAAATGTCCTAACCATGGGTTTAAAGATATAACTCAACTCAATTTCTTTGTTAATGGAATCAAACCTGAGGTGAAGATGTTATTAGATGCAGCAGCTGGTGGCACTGTAAGCCCAGAAGAAGCTACTCAAATTATAGAATCTTTGGCATCTTCTGATCACCAAGCAGAGCATGGAAGACATCAATCTCATAAAAGAAGAGTTCTTGATCTTAGTACTAATGATGCAATCCTTACTTAGAACAAGCTGCTGTCTCAACAGATTGAAGCACTGACTAAGCAGATGGCCAAGATTCCACAACAGCTTCATGCTATTGCTTCTTCTTCAACTCAATCAAATTATTCTTTAAAGTGTGATTTTTCTGGAAGGACGTGGTTAGTTAATGGTCACTGTTCTGAAACTCCAAATGAAGAAGAGGTCAACTATGTGGGCAACCAACAAAAAGGAGGTAATTTTAATTCCCGTAATTATAATACTAACAATTATATGCAGGGAAATCAAGGTTGGAGAAGAAACAATAACAACCAAGGTTATGGATGGAGGAATGAAGCTGGACCATCCAATAGGCCACCACCACAACAGCAACAACAGCCTGCTTATCCGTCTATGCATGAAAGAACCAGCAAATTGGAGGATACTCTGAACCAGTTCATGCATGTGTCTATGAACAATCAGAAGAACACAGAGGCATCCATCAAGAATTTGGAGGTGCAGGTGGGTCAGCTAGCTAAACAATTAGCTGACATGTCTGGAGGCCCATTTTCAGCCAATACCAAGACCAACCCCAAGGAGCATTGCAAAGCCATAACAACAAGAAGTGGGAAGGTAGTGATGAGATGAAATTCTTTCAAATTTGTTACTTGACATTAATTTTAAGATTGTTAACTTAGTTGTTCTTAGTAGTAAGATAAGTTGTGGGACAATTGCTTCTTTTGCTCGAGGGCAAGCAAGGATCTAAACTTGGTAGAGTTGTCAAATTTCAAATTTACTTGAAATGGTTATTCAAATAAGACATCTAACTTGACTTCCTAACTTTTTTCTTTATTTAAATCTCAAAAATTAGTTAACTTTTGTAAGTAATATAATTAGTAAATTACATGTTATATTTATAATCATTCGGTTGATTAATCCCAATTGTGTTTTTTTGTGCTAGTATCGACCTATATCAATTGAAAAAAAAAAATAAAGACTTGAGATAAATACAACTGGATCACATTTTGAAGGTAAAATTGGAGGGAAAAACAAAAGGGTAAAATTTGGTTGGGTAAAGTTTTTGTAGTCTAACCAAATTGAGGCAACAAACTCCATTATCTAGCTCAAACATAATTTGGTTGGACAAATTTATTACCTTTAAGTGAAGAAATCTTAAATCCACTTGGCAAATTTTTTTGGCTAGACAATTTTTGACAAAAATAAGGCATTTTCCCTTGTTATAAAAGAGAAAATATTTGAATCTAAAGAAACCTTAAGTGAATAAACCTTAAATCCACTCAGCAAATTTATTTGGCTAGACAATTTTTGACAAAAATAAGGCATTTCCCTTATTATAAAAGGAAAAATATTTGAATTGAAGGGAAATTTTTTTTGTCTACTTTGGAATGCTCTCTCTAGAATATTTGAAGTTTAATGTTACGAGGGAACTTGGACCAATTGCTCCTAAATAAAGCTCCAGTTTCCATTATGTTTATCTCGTCTTGATTGCTTGTGACATGATTTATGATCTTTGATTGATTGGAAAATGGTCCTTGGATCAAAAAGTGAATTGAATCACCTAATGAATTGGATTGCTAGGAATAAAATTCAACACGTTATTGTTGAACTTGATGCAAATTTTCTTCATTAGTCATGCAAGAGATTGATTTGTGAAGATGCCTAGAACTAAATATTGAGGAATCAATGTTTAAGTGTTTAAGTGAATTGTGTTGATAGGATAAATACGAGTTAAACATGTATGTTATATATATTAAAGACTACCCTGAACCTTGATTGATGAAGTTTTGTCCCAATAGCCTAAATCAATTGAATTAAATATTATTTTAATGTGCATTTGGATCTATCTTTAATTTAAATTCTATATTACATCACCAACCTTGTAACTTATGTTAATAGAATCATGAATGTCAATTTTACTTAACTAGCTTAATTGTGAAATTTGATCTGTCATGTCCTTGTAGATACGACTCATACTCACTACTGATTACATATTGATATTGGTATATTTGTTAAAGGATCGACAATTATCCATCAAATGATATAAAATAAAAAAAAAAAAAAAAAAAAAAATTTATCTCATGCTTATTAAACAAACACCCCTTGGTTCAAATAAAAATCAAAGTTGTGGCTGGTTAAGTTATATTCTCATATCAAAAATCTCATATAACCATTAAATTTAGGTTCAGAAAGAACTAGTGAATAAGTAAATATATTAAATTGTAAAACTAGAAGTGTTCATGACCCAGGCTCATTTTATTGACTCAATCCAAACTAAATAGACTTTTGATAAATTTAAGTTTAACAATTAGACTCAATATATATTAAGAATAAATTTGAGTTATCTCTTGAGTCGACTCAAATTAGCCTAGTATTATTATTTAATAATTTTTAAATAATGAATAGTTAATAATATAATTTTTTTGAATTAATAATATTTATCTAACATAATATTATATTTATATCAATATCATCAATCTTGAAATATATATATATAAACTATTTATTTTTATTGTTTAGCTACATGTAATATTAAAATTTAGTATGTTATACTTTTTTTTTAGAAGTCAAATAATTGAAATTAAAGGAAATATAAAGAATACTCCGTACTCCAATCCATTATAAAAAAAATATCTCAATCTATTAAAAAAAATATCATATATGATATATTTAGTATGTTATATTAACAAGTGAAATTGATTATGATGTTATCCATATATCTGTCAGATCTTCATATGGTATATTTGTTAAGTTGAACTTAATAAAGTTTCATATTTCATATACAAGCAAATTAGTTCCAACCCATCCCACAAATACCGCTGCGTATGAAACCCATTTTGAGACTACCAACAGATTGTGTTGATGAGCATATGTGAATTCCAATAATAACATTTTCAATGTTTTTCTTTACAACAACGGTAATTAATTTTTAAGAGCTTATGAAGCATTTATTCAAGCTATAATATATTTTTCGGAATCGCATTTTCAAAAATATTTTAACTATAATATTGTTTCTAAGTATATTTAGAAAATATGTTTGATTGTATTCTAATATTTTTTTAAAATATATTTAAAATAAAAAATAATTAAAAAGAGAAGTTACAAGTGTATTAAAATATAACTTCTCATATTCTCATAAAAATATTATTTTCTTACCTCTCAACATTGGAAATAAAAGTGTAAAAAATATTATTGTAAAATAACTTTGTCAGAAATAAATAATACTTAGAATTAATTTTTCAAAACTTATTGTAAACATAAAAATATTACATTCTTATGACTACGTTCTCGATAAAGAACTTATAATTCATGGAACAAATGTCTCATTATAGTTAATACTACAGAGTATTAGAAAAAATTATCTGAAAAAAAAATGATATCAATCATACTTTTCACGGACACTACACGTCTACACACATAAGTAAATATCATAATTATATAAGTACAAAAAAATTACCTTTTTTTGGAACAAATAAGTATAAACAATATTAAAACAAAGTACAAGAATTTAATCCGAAAGATCATATTATTACCAAAAGTGAATTACGATAAACCAATGAACAAATGTAATTAGAAAATGGTGGTATTGAATCATTGCTAGAAAATGGAACAGTCTTCGCTTGTTAATATATAGGTAAAAGCCGATTTAAATGATCCTATTCTACCCGAAGTGTCATGAAACAATTAAAATAAGAAAAGAATCGAACATATTCTATAAGAAATCATTTGATGGAGTTAAACAACATAGTACTATTAATTATAGTCTCTACATAATTAAAAAATTAAAAAGCTTACATATTTGTCATGTAGTAATTCACTAACATCATAAATACTTAACGACACTAAATTATCTAATAATATCTCGTATTTGAGGCCATAAAACAAATTTATAAGAGACTTTGGCTCTCTGTCTTAACATCAACATGGCGCATCAGCATCCTTATTATCTACGTTAACCTCTTGAGAAGGTGTAGCTGGCATCAAAACTGCAGAACCTGAAATGCAGAATTGTTTATAATAAGTTGAAGATAGAATAGAATTAGCAGAATAAGGTGTTTCCATGCAATGCAAACTTTAAAAAAAGAACAACATATGAGACATAACTACCTCCTCCTGTCAGTGTATAATGTCAGGTTCCTTGGGAGGCTTTGATACAAGCATAAACCTGAAGAGGGTAAAAACTAAAAAGTTGAGCAAGCATCATCTTAACACAGGAAAGAAAAACTAAATTTTCTTATTGCTTAAATTAATCAGCTACAATCTCAATTACATAGTTCTTTTAAATAAATAAAAGAAATACTCGGTTCTTTATGTTCACTAACACCAATATTGGAACTATTAGAGTCATTCTAATGATGAGAGGTTAAAGTAGTTAGTATAGACGAGATCCTCGATTCAAAATTTATGCTATTATTATAATTCCATAGATCCAAAAAACAGTAATACCAACCCTCAAGCAAATTTGCAGTTTTTATCTCAACTTTCATTATTATATACCAATATATAGTAGGACTAGATTAATTTGGTACAACATCATTAGTAAACGTAGAAAACTTAACTATCATTTCATAGGTGTTATAATTATTATTATTCTTTGATTATAATTAAAATTTTAATTCAATAATTTTAAATGGTATTTTTTTAAAAAAAATGGTATAAAATGATTAGAAAAAAATTTACCCTCTAGATAGCCCAACACACTCGTCAATACAATTCATGCCTTCCCAAAGATCTTGAAGTGGAACCCAATGAGGAGGATACTTATAACGTGCTACATCCAAAATAAGTATTTTGTCCTTTTTACAATGATATCCTCCTATAGGAGAATAGTGACCACCTCCAATCTGTCATGAAATTAAAGTCAATAATTATGAGCAAAAATCAGTGTGAATGGTAACAATAAATCAATCATTAAAGTTAACATACTTGTTTGAGGGCCGATCTGTAGTATGATGCGATTATGTGACAGTGATCAGAACTTGAACACTTGATGACATATTTACGAAAATCTTCAATGGTGTTTTCGCTAGCATAAAAAAATTCAACTTTGGCTCCAGCAGAACCAGCCAAAGACGCAAGATCCCCAAAGACAATGCCTCCACCTTTCACCTTTTCAATATTTGTGTAAATCCTCAACATAGATTCATCAAACCATCTCCAAGGTCCTGTAATAAAAAGAAAGAATTAAAATAAAAAAAAATTATATAATTAATTAATTAATTAATAATTACCTTTCCATCTTCTTCCAGGATCAATAGCAAGAGCGTTGAGGACTATGGACAGGCTCGCGAGGCCACAAAAACAGAGCTCAGATTGCGTTTGAAAAGTAGAAATCAACTTGTAGAAACCTTCCATGGTTCCATTCTCAATAGCTTCACGAAAAAGTTGCTGCAGTTTATTCAATACAAAAAACTGAATAAAAACACATTTAACTTCGTTTCGCTTTTATTAATTAACATCTAAACATTATTATTTAAAAAGGAAACATGTTATAATCCTTCCTCCATTAGTGAAAATGAGATATGTGAGAGAAAGCTTGCCTCGTAAGGAAACACATTCACAGGGAATGAAATTTGATATGGAAAACACTAAGTAACAACATATTTTTCTACGAGAGGAGGACTTTGGTTCATGTAATTTTTTTATTTCTCAAAATAAAGACGTCAGAATATTAAAATATATATTTTTAAATATTTAACATGATTCTCATTTTCGTGGTAGAAGACAGGTATATATCTTTCATTTAAGTAAGAATGAAAGTTATATATTTTTCTAAATAGTTACCTCTTTAAACTTTATTATCCCGCATTTTTTATGTTTTTTCAAATTTTTAATTAAATAAAAAATATTTTTCTGAAATTAATAAATGTTAACTAATCATACTCATGAAAATAACATTCTTATGAATAAATAATATTTTTATGGTGTGTTTGGATGAAGAATTTTACAAATTTAAAGAATTTTAAATTCTTTGTATTTGAATTACTTTGATTTTAATTTCTATCATTTTTAAAATATTTTGTTTGGATAAGTCAATTCAAATTTCTCAAATTTTAAAATGTTGGGTTGGATATGATAATTTGATTCCACCATGGTAAAATTGATTTTAAAAATATATTTATATGTTGAGATTTTTAAATTAAATTTTATAAAAATAAATATTAGCTAATTTTTAAATATTTAATAATTTTAAAAATTAATATTAGATAATATTTAATAGTTTTAAAAATATTTTTGAATATTCAATAATTAAAAACATGAAGAGATAAGACATAAAATAAAATATATCAGTGAAATAAGAAGAAAAAAATATGAAAAATTTTAAATTCTTACTTTTTTTGGAGAATTTGTAGTTCTACTATTTAAAAGAATTTCACAAATGTTTAATTTCAAATTCCTTATAAATTCTCCATCCAAACAAGATATTTTACCTCAAAAAATTTAAAATTCTTTGAATAAATGAATTACTCCATTTAAATTTTCTATCCAAACACACTATTAGTTTCGAAAGAAATATTTTTGTTGATAAAATTGGAAATAGAATATTGTAGTTAGAAAAACGTCTCCATAATAATAAGGAAAAAAACTGGATGGTATGAAAATTCTAATACGTATATCATGCATTGAGGACACGGATTATTATTGTGTCATTCTTTGTTTTTTTTACATGTTATTATTTAAATATTTAATTATAAAAATTGCTTACAGCAATGACAAATAATATGAGAATTAACTGTTGCAATAAAAAAAAATATATAACAAAAAAATTAGACATATTTTTTTTATTATAAGCATCTACAAAATATATTAAAACTGATAATTAAAGATTAATTTATGTTTATAAAATATAATTTTTTCTGACTAAATATTATTAAAAATCAAACTTGAAAAGACTAACTCAATTCCATAATTCAATAACTTTATAATCATTGAATAAAAGACTTTGTTAAGTTGAGAAATTAACAATTTGACGACACTATCAACATAAGCATAGCAGAAATTAATAATGGTGGAAGTGAATAAGAATGAAAGAGAAAGGTTTGAAGCATAAGCATTACCTTGCCCTCTTCTGAAACAAAATCAATTGCAGGAGGTGAAGGAAGGGGATGTTTGTAAAATCCATCGTTCATTATTTCTTTGGGTTTAGATTTAGTAAAGAAACAAACCAAGAGTTCGTAAACTCTATTCATTTTTTTCTTTTCTTTTAGGTCTGGTTACTACAAGAGAATAGCGATGCAAATAGAGTTATTCTTATATATAGGCACATACATAACATATTATCTTTAATTAGTACAATTAATTAAGAATATATACTTTAATTTTCAAATTAAAATAAAAAGGAAACAAAAATCGGATAAAAAAGTAAAATAGAGCAATGTAAATCAAAAAAATAAGACACGTCATTTACAATCATTTTAGGCCAAATCTTCTCCCGGTCGTTGTTCCATCACAGATATAATTTCTTTTTATTCTGTGAATTTTTTTTTATAATATTTTTAGATTTAAATATATTTTAATTCATATATTGTTGTTGATCCCTATAAAATAAATAAATTTTAGTTATGAACTTTGTAAAATATCTGTCTTTTTATTTTCATCCTTATAAAATCTAAAGTCGTTATTTTTTTTCCTAATAACCATTTTAAATTTATCTTAAAGATTTATAATTTTTTTTAGAAATATCTCATATAAATAAAGTATTATACAATTGTGGATGTACCTAGAATGTTTACATAAGTTTCGAACGAATAGATAAGGGGTTAAAAAGGTCACATAGTATTAATAGAGACTAAAATAATAGTTTTAAGTATGAAATTAATTTTTTTAATAAATTATTTTTTAATTTTTAGATTAAATTAAAATTTTGGTTCCTTTTTTTTTTCATCAATTCGCAATTTTTGTTTCTCTATTTTAAAATAAGATATTTAGTCTCTCTAATTTTAAAAATACACAATTTTGATTTTCTCATCAAATTAACATCTATTAATTGTTAAATTTTAACATTTATTCATACTTAAATGATATGATATTTAGTAACTTCACATCTAAAAATTAAAAAATTAAAATAAATTATACAAATAAAATTTTATTAATAAAATAAACATTAACCACTCATTAAAATATATGCAAACAATGATTGTTTATATGTTATTTTTAATTTTTATCCTTAAACATCATATCATTAAATATGACGTTACTTAAATAATAATAGTTTGATAGATCATAGGTAATGACAAAATTTAATGATCAATGAATATAAAATTGATAAGAGGATCAACATTCCATATTTTAAAAAATAGAAAGACTAAATATCTCTATTTTAAAATAAAAGAACCAAAATTATGGATAAATAAAAATAAATAAAATCAAAACAACAATATAATGATAATTTTATTTCTTAGTAATTTGAGTTTTAACATTTTATAAATATATAAGATCAATTAATATCACATCTAATATCAACTCAAGATCTAATCAAAATATTTTATGATAGTTGTAGTTTATACTTTAAAAAAATATTTTATCAATTGTAATCTAATTTGAATCTAAATTATCCTTAATAATACAAAAATAAAATAACATTATTAATGGTAAATTACATTATCAACTAATCATTAAAATGTATTAAATTTATAAATTAGGTTTTATGCTCCTATGAATAGTCTGACTTATTTCTTCCTTTACTTTTAAAATATCCAATCATTAATTTAATTTTAGAGAGGTTTTTAAATTTAGCACCTTCAAGTTTGATCTTCTTTTTTTTCCCTTTCAAATATTCTCATTGTCACTCCTGAAATTTCGATCGGCTTCTGGTTTTGATTGGAGGGAAATCAACAAGCAAACTATTGCCATAGAATAAACCAAAGTAAAAATGGGTTTGCTTTTAACAACAACTCATTTCCTTCATTCCTCCTTTTCCCATCATAGACTCTCCCATGACCCATTTCATGTCAAATTTTTAAACAACTCTTCCATTTCTGCAAATGACATAAAATAACTAGACCATATTTTCAGGTTCAGAAGAAAAAAAGACGTAACATAAATATACCCATCGATGGTTTCTCTATGCAACATTCACTCAACTCAACAATGAATTAATGGCGTTTCAAGGAGAATTTTTACTACGTACGTGAGTGTGAAATATATAATAACCTCTTCATGAAATTCCTTTTAACTTATTATATATCTTGAGTCTCAAATTCATTAATTGCTGAATTCTTATCTTCCAGGTTTTACTGAAGTCTAAGTAAAGCTTTATATTACTTGTGTGAAGAGAATTCAAAACGCATAAGATTTGTTTGACATGTCCAATAACAACAAGGTGAAGGGCATCCTTAAAGGCCTAAGATTCATTTCTCAAATATTCGGTACGTGGTTTATTGTAATTAATTATTGTATTAATTTCTAACCATTTATTTTGTGCATGCTTGGATAAACTTATTTTAATTTATGTAGCTTAAAAAAACTTATAACATTTTTTATTTCTAAATTAAGTGATTAGAAGTTTTTTTTTTCAAGAGAAATTTATCCAAATATATCTTATATGTATTTCCATTTTTCAAATATAAAGTTGTAAAATTGAAGAAAGATTATGGTGATTAATTAAAGGAATTTCGCAGATAATGAGGACAAAGAAGAAATTCAGATTGGTCATCCAACGGATGTAAAGCATGTGGCGCATATTGGATGGGATGGTCATGGTCCTTCTGATAATAATCCCAGTTGGGTAATTATCTATTTTCCCAAAATTTTCAACTCTTAATTAAGTAATTAACATTAACAAAAACTTGTGGAACATCAATTAACTACTCTCTTTTTGAAGTTTGAACGCATTGTAAAATTGTTTTTATTATCAACCCTTGTCCTAGTGGCTAGTGTATCATTATATTTAAGAGAATTTTTTTTGTATAACATTTACTGTTATAACTTCTATTTGTTGATTTCTCTTGGGATTATGGCCAAGGCTATTATAAATACTTGTGTTATTTTGTGTCTTTGCGTGTGAAATTCGCATCATTTAAAAAAAAAAAAACATTGGAGCATTATTTCACTTGTTTCAGATGAACGAGTTTAAATCTGTCCCAGGAAATTCATCTGCACAAAATCATAATGGAGACATTCGTAGCAAAGGATCAGGCGATTCAGTTCAAAGTACCCCTGAAGGTACATATTATAATTTTATGCTTCCATTATTTATTTATTTATTAGAATTATATTAATAACAATAATGTTTAAATATAAAATTATGTGTATATTATCTTAATCTCTCTACTATTGAGACCAATTTTAATGATTCATGCAAAACATTTTCTTGTCCAATTTAAAAATCAAATTAATCCAAACCGTTTTAATTTAGATGAAATGAGTGAATGACAAATAATTAAAAAGCTATAAATCAACCAATGATAATAACTAATCACTTGTCATAAGTTGGTATGACTTTTCAATTTCTGTTTTCTGAACAAAACATAAAATTCAATCTAATGTCAACAGACAAAAAAAATGTAAATTGATACAACTGATCAAGGAATTTAGAATTAACTTTCAATTTTTTCATGGGCTTAAGTTCAATTTTCTGTGTTATTAAGAGAGTGCTTGGTGGGCAATCTTCTTCATAGAAATTCCTTGGTACCAAACAGTTCAGTTGAGTAATTGGATAAAATTTCTTTTAGTTTAAACATGCATAATAATTTTCTTAAATAATTTATGTTAGTGGTAGTCTTAACATGGTAACATGTGGGAATGCCCCCAACAACAATTTTTTCACCAAAAATATATATTTGAATCTAGTTGTTATATATATGTTATTACTCAGGTTCAATGGAAAGAGGTTCTATGGAAAGAGGTTCAAAGTCATTGTATTGTCAAGGTCATGAGGACTCACGTGGTCGTGAGTTATCCAAGCAATCTAAGAAACAATCAAATTCAATGGGGCACCTAAGAGAGTCCCATGGAAAGGAAAAATCAGACAGACCAAGGAATCCTAAAAAAGCATCCAAACATGCACAGCCAAATGACTCATGCAATGATCATTCACAACCCATGCACACCGATGCTGATTCACTCCAACTCCAAGGGGGTGACCATTTGCCACCCAAAAAGTCTCGCCACAAAATTTCGAAAGAACACGCTTCCAATGTTGGTGGTGGTTCCTCCAAATTGAGATCAAAACACCCCCACCATTGTAGAGACACCGATTCTAATGAAGAAGGCCATTCTAGATCAAGTTCCAAATCTAGGAACAAACACGGGTCATTTGAAGAAGATGGGGAATTTGAGAGAGAGACTAGGAAACATGTACTGAAAAGTTGCCCAAATTAGAGGAGTTTTGTTTTTTATAGACTTTTTTTTTTTAATATATCAATTTTTTTTTCTTCTAATAACCTCATCCCCATTTTATTTATCAAAATGACCCATTTACTATTTAAGGTAAGAAATCCGTTGGGGGAACCGATTTCTCACCTTCAATTTTTATAACATGTAAAAGTTTGCAGTGAGAAATCGGTTAACGTAAAACCGATTTCTCAACTGCATGATTTTGTTTTTTTTTTTTTGTTTTTGATTTTTTTTTTGTTTTTGATTTTTTTTTTGTTTTTGTTTTTTTTTTGTTTTTGTTTTTTTTTTCGTTTTTGTATTTTGTTTTTTTTTGTTTTTCGTTTTTGTTTGTTTATTTTTTTTTGTTTGTTTTTTTTTTTGGTTTTTGTTTTTTTTTTGTTTTTGTATTTTGTTTTTTATTTCGTTTTTTTTTTTTTTTCGTTTTTGGTTCATGTTTTTTTTTTTGTTATTTTTGATTTTTATTCCAGATTTTTAATTTTCTTATTTTCATATTTTAATTATAAATTTTTGAAAATTTTAGTATTTTTTAAATAAAATAGTTTAGTTAAGTTTTTAGAATAAAAATAAATAATGAAATAATTATTAACTTTAGATTATAAAAATGTATTTAAAATTAAATTTAAAGAATAAAATTGAATAAAATTAATTTTAAATAAAATATGTATAAACGTCTTATTAGATTATAATTAGAGAGTTTTTTTCCAACTTTACAATAGAATTACAACACCTTTTAATACGTTGTAGAATAATTGTTAGCTCATTTTTAAACTTATAAGTATCACGAACAAGTTTTTGAGTAAACATTATGCATATGCATTCCAATAACACTTGATGACTTTTTAATGAAACCTTATGCAATCATTTATAAGTGTGTTTTGTTATAAGAAGGGCTTTTTGACATAGATGAAAAACAATCAAGAGCTCTCCTTGTTAGGATACTTGTTGATATAACTTGTAAACTTTTATTCCTTTTTTATTAATATAACCTACCCGAGGCATGGACAAAACTAACCTACAAAAAGGTTACCAAGTCTTGCAAGAACAACAATAAAACTTCAAAGGGGAGATCCTCAAGGAGGGAAAAAATCGTAGAGCTCCTATATATGAGCCAGAGTAGCTACATAATCAACCACACAATTTGCTTCCCTAAAAGTGAAAACAAAAATAATTTGTCATTTACGAGATAAGAGATCAGCTCCCCGTTGAAAGAGATTAAATTGGTGAGGCAATAAACTATGATGGAAAGCAACCCAAGCCACCTAAGAATCAATTTCAATAATGACACACTCATGGCCATGGTTCCAAACATTCTCCGAAGCAGTGAAAATAACCCATATTTCAACAACATTTGAAGAACAGACCTCCAACCTCTAACTAAAGCCTTGAATCCACTACCCCTGATCATCATGGAGGACTCCTCTACGGCTAGATTGGAAGCTTCCCCACCAGACTAAGGCATCTACATTATACTTCACCCAACCCCCATCAAGGGGATTCCAAGAGCCACCCCCATCCAGCCCCTTTTGTAGTCTATAAGTCCTCAATATCCAAATTTGTGCAACCTCCACGGTCAGGATTTTAGTCTTTTGAATAACCCTGTTACTGCACCAGTCAAGGCTTAAGAAAATGTCATTTTGGACCTCTAGATGGACCACAAGGTGATACCAAAGAGAGATTCCAAGCATGAAAGGGGGCAGAGACATTCATTGTGATCCAATTCTTAACATTACTCCTGAAGAAATTGGAGTTCAAATTTCTCCTATTTAAAAAAAAACGCTTAAAAGATATAAAATGAATTTATAGTGTCAACGTGTGTACGGAAATAAAACAACAAGTATTTTCTATGAAATATGAAAGATTTAAAAAATAATTGGTTCCCTTCCAAATAAGGTCTAGGTAACTGCACTTCCAAATTAGGCTTTTTCGCCGTAATGAATTAAAAAAAAATTACTAAAATAAATTAATAAAAAAATTATTTATCAAATTAAACTTGACGTTTTGTGCACATACAAACATAGTGGATCACATGCAAACGCAGTGGGTGCAATGGAAAAGCTTGCAAAACTGAAAATGTCAGCTTGGCTGACGAGTTCCTCCCCGAACAGGTTACAGGTTACATTAATCTCACTTTAACAATTTGTGTTACAACAACTTCGACTGACATTCCACGATAACAATCAAGGGCTACTTCTGCAGTTAGAGCATCCGAAACATAAGAATGCAATTATTTGATGCACACAATATACTAAACCATCATGCAGTTAGCAAAAATTATTGGTTAGAAGAGAAAGAGATGAAACAAATAAAATTTCGTGGGGGATCAAACAAAAGAAGAGAAAATAATTAAGGAGTTAAGTAAAGTAAGTAACCTTGTGAGCAAAAAAGTGTGCAAGTGAAAAGTAACTAATCAACATTGGCCCAATGCTTCGAGTGTAAAGTAAAGACCAACCTTCGCTTGCTTTACATATGGTACAGGGACAACAAATTCACCAATATCCATATCTCAAATAGATCGTGAAAGACACAAGCCACCAAAAAACTGAGGACTGACGTTCACGGGCCTGTATCTTTCTACTACAAGGAGCATTGACCACTGCGAGGTACAAAAAACAAAAACCAAAAACAAAAAAAAACAAAAACCAAAAACAAAAAAAATACAAAATACAAAAACGAAAAAAAAAAACCAAAAACCAAAAAAAAAAAAAAAACAAAATCACGCAGTTGAGAAATCGGTTTTACGTTAACCGATTTCTCACCGCAAATTATTACATGTTATACAAATCGAAGGTGAGAAATTGGTTCCCCAACCGATTTCTCACCTTAAATAGTAAATGGGTCATTTTGATAAATAAAATGAGAGTGAGGTTATTCAGAAAAATAAAAAAAAAATTGATATATTAAAAAAAAAAGTCTTTTTTATATTAGTGTTGCTTAGTTATTGATTGAATTTAGAACAGTACTCTCCCTCTTCTCAAATTCTAATGTATCTTAGTGCTCTTTTTTATTCAATTTTTGATGATTGATGTACAAATATTTTTATAAGCAATTACTCTGACTAATGTTGTAAAGTATTCATGTCTCGAGAATTAATAAAGAAATTACATGTTTTCTTTTAAAAACATTTTTACGCGGTCATTGATACTCTCAAATGTTAGTTGATGGACCTCTATCCTTTCTGGGACGTGTTTGAAAAAACCTTGTGTTAAACATAACTCAGTTTTTTAGTAATTCATTGAAACATTCACTCATCTGATTAGTTTAAAATGTGTATATTTTTATTTAATATCTTACAAATTACAATTCAAACACAACTAATCTTCAATTAATACTTTTAGTACTTCATAAAAGGTTGATTCTTTCAACTTATTTTTTTCATATTGATATATGACCTTTTTCATTTTTTCAATCATTGAATCTCATGTTTTATATATCAAATAAAGAGAAGTTATATTCGAATTTGTCGAACATTATAGATAAGACTAATGAAAGAAAGTATGTAATCAACCTTATCCTACCAAATATCATTCAACAATGTTTCTTTTGACAAATTTTGTCTTTTAAATATCATATTCTTTGTAAAAAGACCATTTCTCAATAATAGCCATCTCTTAAAAAATATAAATATAAATCAAAATGGTAAAACAAAGTAATAAAGTCATATAATATTATATACCTGTATTGTAACCATAATATTATATAACTTATACATTTATATACCTATAATTATATTATTGTATAACTACTAATAAAAACTAATTTAAATCAAATTGGTAAAACAAAGTAATGAACTTGGATATATACCTATACTGTAATTATAATATTATATAACTTATACGTTTATATAGTATTACTACTAATAAAAAAATAATTTAAACCAAAAATGGTAAAAATACTTATATGTATATATTGTAATTATAATATTATATAATTATAATTTAAAACATATCTATAAAATAAAATAATTTTGCTATGAATTATGAAAGAACCAACTTAGTGGGAAGGAAGACAAGTGTACATACAACAATGAGAGAAAAAAAAAAAAGAAAAAAAAGAAAGAAAACGACCCAAGAACAAAGTCGTATTTAGACCAATGAAGAATTGATTGGGCACAAATATGAACCAGCAACGCAATGAACAAGCACAAACCAATAATGAACGAACGCGACATGAGCTCTAACAATGACTAACAAAAATTGTCGAAGGTAAACCAGTGCTAAGGGACGACATAAATAGTTGTAACGACTAATGATTTGCAAAAGGGGACATATGGCCACTTATTTTGTCAAAATAATCAGCGGAAATTATTTTCTTTTATTGTATACGCGAACATAATAGAAACTAATTTTTATTTTTAATATTGCCGAGATACCTGATTAAAAAAACTATTATGTATCTTGACAAGATAGTCATTAGTCAACAAAGATTATTTCTCACTATTATATATCTTAACATAATAGAAACTAATTTATGTAAAAGATGTTTCCATAAAAGTTTAAAAGAAAATAATGTCAAGTGGTGGTGACAGCAAAACACGCTGTGCGAATAGCAGGCCCTTTGGTAGAAAGGTCTTCCAATTCCATATTCAACCAACAAACATGTTGATTGTTGAAAACTTGAATTACTTTGGGCCTGCATAAATAGAGAACTAAATTTCTTACAAAATTAAATGTTAAATTAGTTTTGGGCTCTAATTGACGCTCAGTAGTAAATATTATTTGAATTTAATGGGTATGTTACGTATGTAAGTGTGACTAACCTTTATATACTTCGTACCAATTAAAATTTATTAGGTTATTTAGTATAAAGTTTAAATTAAACTATAATGAAGAATTATTTTATAAAACTGTTATGCTTGTATACGTGGAACAACGCGGTTTCTAATTCTATTATCTTAAAAATAAAGAATAGAGTGGAATTGAATGAGAAAAATGAAAGAGGGAGAAGTATATATATTAAAAAAAGATGAAAATTAGGATTAACAAAGTTACGAGGATCTTTCTTGTTCTGTCTACGATCTCTTCGTAATTCCCTTCGACGGTGGCACGCGGACACCGATCGCCATGAACATCTTCACCAAGAAACCCACCGCCAAAGGTTCTTCTTCTTCTTTCTCCTAATTTAATTAATTTTCATGGGTTTGGTTTGGTTGAAAGCCCTTGTTTCCGTTTCCTGCAGAGGCTCTTCGGGAGAGTAAACGAGAAATGGCAAACGCCACTAGAGGTAATGTTTCAATCATCCTCATAAACCCTTTGCTTCATCAATTCTATTTCTGTGCATATGACTTATGAGTTATGATAATTTCTGGTCAGAGGTGTGGCATTTGGACTTATGTGTTGATCTTATATTTCCTTATTTCAGGTGTAGAGAAGGAAATTGGAGCATTACAATTGGAAGTAAGTTATAGTTATTTAACTAGTGAATGTGATTATTCAGTCTCAACTTTTTATGTTATATATCAAATATGGGTTATTTGTTTGTGTTATTAGGAAAAGAAACTCGTTGCTGAGATAAAGAGAACTGCTAAGACAGGAAATGAGGTATCATCTGCATTTCATGCTCATACTTGGAGGTTTTTTTTAAAAAAAAATTATTTTTTATTGATCAGTAGTTAGTAAGAGTATAAAAATGGATGTTTTGGTTGCCACTGTATTTCTCAGGCAGCAACTAAAATTTTAGCTCGCCAGTTAGTCAGGCTTAGGCAACAAATTGCTAATCTTCAAGGTAGTAGAGCTCAGATGAGAGGTATAGCAACTCACACGCAGGTATGTATATAATGTTGGTGAAGACTTTGTTCTTGTGATGTGTTTTTTTTTTATTTTTATTTTTATCTTCTTTTGCTACTTGTGTTTAAGCAAGTATATGATTTATCTGCTCTGTCTTAGCTATGTTTTTCATTTGATGCAGGCGATGCATGCCCATTCTTCTGTTGCTGTTGGCATGAAAGGTGCTACTAAGGCAATGGCAGCTATGAATAAGGTCACACGTTCAATCTTGTACTTTAAATGTCCACGCATAATATATTTGTTCTTGGGCCGTGTGAGCAATATTTTGCTAGGTTTTATCTGTGATGCATAGATGTGATATGTGTATTGAATATGATTAATACCGATATGCTGATACAGGTATTTTTAATGTATATGATGCATGCAGGATACATATTTGCATATGTATAAACTTATGAATCATTAATGTATATGATACATGCAATTCTGCTAATCCAAATTAAGAATATATTTCTTCAACATTACTGAATAAAATTATGAATCATTGTCATCATGAATCATTGCCTATTTCTTAGAAACAGAAATGGTATCAATCTGATTCTCTTCTTAAGCATCATTTATTAAAAGCATAGTTTCCATTTCTGGTTCCTCAAGAGACAATGATTTCTGTGAGTGTCCATCTTATACTTCAATGTCTTTGTATCTGGTTGAATTAGATTTTTCATAACTTTTTTTAAAGGCTAAAAATATATATCAGTGAGTATCCAAAAGTATTTTATTAGATATAGATCCAATACGGATATGTGAAGCTACTGCAAGTATATCATAGGGTTTTATTAAAGAAATTCTTTTTTTAGTGAGTAAAAGAAAGATGGTGTGGATATATCCATCGTTGAGGAAAAACTACAAGGAAAAATATTGTATCAGGAAAACAGCAATGATAGCAGTTTTTCTAACTTCCTATGAAATAAACAAAATATTGACATTGAAGTCCATAAACTAGTCTCTATATCATTTTTCATTCCTTTTTTCCTTATACTACTACTAAATTAGAATACTCATTGCAGCAAATGGCACCAGCAAAGCAAGCTAAAATTATACAGGACTTCCAGAAACAATCAGCACAGATGGATATGACTGTAAGATGCTTTCGTTACTAATTTTTCAAGTTAGAAAAAGTGGGAACAATTGTTCTGTTTCACCAACATACAGACTTTAATGGTATATAATTTCATGAGCAGACTGAAATGATGTCAGATGCCATAGATGATGCCTTGGATAATGATGAAGCTGAAGAGGAGACTGAAGAGCTGACGAATCAGGTACTCTTTCTATTGCCTTTTATTGCAACTTAAAAAAAAGTATGTGTTGCTATGTTTTCAGGGTTTTCCTCGTTTAACTTTTCAAATAATTAAAGAATTTTATTATATTTAACATGGCTTTTATTTCACATAAAGTTCTTTACTAGGAGGAATAATAAATGTATCTTGTATTACAATCCATAAAAATTAGTGATGCTAGAATCATGGGTCCAATTTTAGGTCCTAACCACAGCAATAACACTCTTGGAGCAATCGAGAATCAATAACAAAAACCGAGCCTTACTTATTCCTAGGTGGAGTGAAGTAAGTAGGTCAATTGAAACCATCAGGCTAATTCATAATCTGGTTTTGATAATTAAGGGAGATAAAAAGTTTAGGATCCCACAGTAGCCCCTAAATTAAAAATTAATAATAATATGATTTCTTGTGGCTTAGTTTACAATGTTTAGAAGGAATGGTATATGATTCACAAAGAATAACGAGTCTAGAGATGAGCATAAGTTCAAGGTCTTATAGTTTGGGGATGACATCTTTTGAAATTACAGAAAGAAACTGATGGCAAATTGACTTAACCTATTTTGTTTTTTTTTTTTTGTAGGTGCTGGACGAAATTGGTGTGGATGTTGCCTCACAGGTAGGAATAAGCTGTTATTAATCTCTGCACTCATCTCATCTGTCATAATGCTTTTGCTCAACTTAATTTCTGTCGTATTTTATCTCTTTGGCAGTTATCAGCGGCTCCCAAAGGGAGGGTTGCAACAAAGAATACTGAAAATGTCAGCAGGTATTGTCTGTCTAACCATCTCTTTTCTGAAGATTTAATTTTGATACTTGTGTCTGTTTTCATGAATAAATTAAAATTTCTTTAGCCATTTGCTTTTTTTTTTATAGCAAATCTATTTGACCTTGTAAATTTGATGCCACTGCAGCTCGGGCATTGACGAACTTGAGAAGCGTTTGGCAGCTCTTAGGAACCCATAAATTTTGCCTGGGATTATGTGATTCTGGACCTCGAAGTTTTAAGCAAAAATTCTTTCCTGAACTATGTTCTCTTGGGATTTCACAAGTTTAGTGTGTATATACGTCCTTGAAATTATCATGTATGAATGATGATATATCAAAATTTCTGATATGGCAATTTACTAAAAGTTATAGTTGGGGATATAAAGAATAACGTATAGTTTGATGCTATTTGAAAGTGAATTGCCAAGTCGAATTATGTTGTATATGGCTGAAGAAGCTTTTACTTGTAACCTGTAGGTGCTTGTTAGGAGTGAAATTAGGCAACGGGAGAAAGATGTTACATTGAAAATATGTAGATTCTTTGATTCCAAGGTAATGTCAAACAGTAGTTAATGGCTCATATAGATCTCGCATTATCAAGAGTTGATTTCAGAAACTACAAAGGCATTACTATAAATAAATTAACCTAAATTAGGAATAACCATTTGGCATAAAATACAAGCATTCTCTAGTGCGTCAGTTTAAATTATGCTGTCATATTTGCTTTAATGCTTCATACTATTATGAAACAAAAAGTGGCCAATTCGGTTAACAAAAACCAAAATTATTTGAATTATCACTATTGACTAAATTTCATTCGTAATGGCAGGGTCAAACTGGTCCTCAGTGGTAAATTTCTCACAAAGCAAGACATATTATATGATTCATCTTCAGTTATAATTAGAGTCCATAAATTCAACTTTTTAAAGAACCTTTAATTAAAAATGTTTTTTTTTAAGTTGAGTTAAATATTTTTGGTCTTTAAAAATATTGAAATATTTTCTTTTAATTTCTAAAAAAAAAAAAATTATCTTGTCTCGATTTTGGATATATGCTATGTTACATAAAATTTATATATAAAATTCCTTTTGTAGTTCAAATAATTGGAACCATAACCAATTTATTCGGCTTGAAATACTCTACTTGCTCTCAGGTCTTTATTTATTATACCTAAAAGGACAAATATAAAACTATTTGGCCACATTCGTAAATACTTGGAAAGGGTTTTTTTTTAACACATAACAGTCATACCTGACTCAAATTAAATTATCAAAATTATCCCCGGTGAAAAATACATATAACTAATAGAAGAGGAAAAAAATTGACAAATACTTGTTCTAGGTTCACTTGTTTTAAAATTTAATAAAATTAACTTTAAATTGTTAAAAATGAATAGAATGAATCCAACTTAATATCAACCATAGCTCTACACTGAAATGTACATTTTTCTTTTAAAAAAAAAATACAAGAATTGATTTTTTTGACACCAAAACAAACAGAAACCTAGCTTTTAAAAATTAGTATTAAATCAATTTTACAATTAACATTTTAAAAAATAAAGTGAAATGAGAACCTAATTTAAAATCAGTGAGTAAAGTACTTACAAGGAAACTGTATTTCAAAACACTTTCTTTTTGGTATATTTCAAAACTATAAAGAAAGCAAATAATGATATAAAGAAAAATTCGTAAGAAAAACTAGAACCACCTATACCATATGCTCAACAGAATATATCCGATGAAAGTCATTTTCTTATAATAAGAATAAATTCAAATTATTCGACTAAAATTAAAAGAAATGTAAAAGTTAAAATTTATTGAGCAAACACCTAACTAGTTCACTAAATTTGAAATACGTCACATTAATCTCTAAAATTAAGAAATTATAAAATATGTTCCAAAAAGTACAAATTAACAATCACATTATACCAAAACTCAAAATTACAAGAATAAAATGATAATATATATATATATAATAAGTAATTCAATTTAAGAACTTAATAATAATTTCTTAGTTTCAGACAGCAATATGACAACACTTTTCAAATTTAGAGACTAAAGTATGCGTTAATTCAAATAAATATTATGTAACCTTATGTATTTTAATTTAATGGTCAATATTTTATCTTATTACAGCCATCCACCCCACCGTACCTGCATGAGAAATGAATAATGAAAGATCTCAAACCGCTATTGTAGCTTGAGACCAATTTCTAACATTAATAATTCCACTCTCATAACAAGGGAAACATAGTGGTAGTGTCGGGTCTCATTGCAAAGAAACCATAACAAGTTTATCATAAACTACAACTCTACTTTCATCTATTTTGATTTATGGAAAAGAAAACAAGTTTTTCTAATAAAAAGAAAAAGGACCCTGGTTGAGTTCTCAGGAGCATGTTTAGGAACATGATACAACATCCGAGAAACCTTCTTCAGAAGGCATATCTAGGGGGCAGAAAATAGTCCACCTTGGTCCACAAAATGTAACAGCAAGTGAAGTTGATTATGACCTCATGGCTCATGGCAATTCAATAATATACATGAACATGATTCCATAATGCTTGAGATCAATGGTTCTCGGATAAACAGGTGCACTAAAATTTAGAAAATGTCTTTGTGGCAAATTGAAACTGGATATTCTAGTTACTTCCTGATAGAGAGGAGCTCAAAACTCCGGAGAGGATCATCGCGGTTGCCTCTGCTGGATCCAGTGCGCGTGTAAGAGGGCTGTTTGGTTTCATACATAGGTTGAATATTTTTATGTGCAGTAGCTGGACGGCTACCACTTGAGGTTAGCCGGCCAGTACGACTGTCAGTATGATCGCCGGAGGAACTTGGCCGGGTAGACGATGAGATTATGGCTCTCCTTGAGCTGCTGCCATATCGAGATGAATTGCGTCCCTTCTCTTGATCATGATACTAAGAGACAAGGCAAAACCAAAATTAGGCACACGTGAGTAGACAATATAAAGAAATCTATGTAGGTTTTAGGCATAAGTAAAACTGGAAATGCGAAAGATGAACAAAAAAAGAGTGATAAAGGCATATGATATTGATAGATTCCATAGCCTTTAGTTCCAAAACATGCAAATAAAATGGCATCCAAACCAGCAAACATCACTGCAAATAGCATTATCATTAATTGTAACTTGCACAGCCCATGCCTCTTCCTTGTCTCTCTCCCTGTTTAGAATGTTTTATCTCAATTATTTTTGTTACTTTCTCAACACTTTCTCAATTCTTCATTTTGACAGCTTGTTTTGTAAGGAAATGATGTGGGGAATCCAACTGCAATTGATTACACTAGAGATGACATCACACACTTGAAACCAAAGTTATCTAAAATGTTCAACTCAAATCCAAATTAAAGGACTAAACGTAAACAAACTAATTCATTATCTAAATGAAAACTTTCACCATTTCTTCAATGATGAAGGTATGCATGCAACATCTTCACAAAATTCCTAGGTTTTTCAAAACAATAATGTAATCTTCATGTGATGAATAATGAAATCTTATTGTTTAAAAACAATTTTTACCCCATCCTTGTGTACTGCTACTTCCTCAAAACCCCTATGTTTGGAGTGATCACCGCGTGGACTAGAATTTGTTGGGTTCCTCCGGGAGAAAACATCAACAGCACCAGAGAATTTTTCTCGAATCTCTTTCCCAACTGAAATAAGAAAATGAATGACCTAAGATTATACAAAATAAACTTGGAAAAAGTAAAATGACCACTATTGATGTGAGCGATGAAAAAGACAAATATAGTTTAATGCTTTCAGAGTATCTATATTCTGAAATTCAGAAGACGAGAGTAATACATTAACATTAAAATTTCTGACCAACCATGGTCCTAGTCGTTAAAAATTTGTAGGATAGCAAATTTCATCATCTTATTTGGATGAAAGAGAATGGACCTGATATCTTTTCTGGCTTTTGTACAGATGGTCCGGCATGCATGGCTGCCTTGCCACTGTCGTGCTGTTATTAAAACAATTATAGTAAGTGACCTCAACTTGAAAGCAGTATCCAAACAAGCATGGTATAAAAGTACTAACCCGCCCTCTAGAGCTGCCACCAATCTGTGGATACTTCAATATAGTCCAATCAAAAACATAGTCAAATTGATAGCCTGCACAAACAATGTCCAGATCAATTTGCAACCATTTAACACACTAGGTTTCCATCAAAATATACAGAATGCTAAGCTAATATACAAATTAGATAACTTGTGTATCAGACCTTCTCGAATAAATAAATCTCGAAAGAGCCTCTTTAAATATGAATAATCAGGTTTGTCCTCAAACCGCAATGATCGGCAGTAATGGAAATATGATACAAACTCCGAGGGATATGATTTGCAGAGAACCTGTTATACAGGCACAATATTAACAGCAAAACAACAAAGACCAACAAAATTGTGAGCTGAAATAGAAGATGAAAGGTAAAGGGAAAAATGTGCAAGCTATACCAATTGTTGAGTACAAAAATATATGATTTGAGACTTAAAACGTGAAAAACAATCTGAGAGCATATAGTCAATAGCAGCATCCAATATTAGTAGATTAGTAAAAATTGTTTAATGCATAAGGGAAACATACAGTTCATTTTGTTCACAAGTCAGTTATAAACAATTATGGGAGTTGCTCTTAGACCCCTAGCTTGTCTACTAAACCTCTGGTTTTATCCAGGTCCAATACATATCAGACCACTCAACAACATCCAAGCAAATTCAAAGTATCAAAAACTAGATCAAGAGGGATCAGGGAATATCAAAATTATCCAAAATCCACACTGATCCAGCTAACAAAATACCTCTATAGGAGTTGACATTTTCTTCTCGCTGATTTTATCATATTTTTGTTTTTTGGTGCCAGCCTTCAGTCCCTGCCAAGGAAGACTGAAAAAAAAATTGTACAACAAAAAGAGATAATAAGAATAATACTTTTTGATAAACTGCAGTAAAAACTAAGAATAATATTTAAATATCAAAATCTACTAGTAGAGGGTAAAGTGGATGCGTCTATCAGGTATCCAACCTTCCTCTTAAGAAGTACATGAGCACATAACCAAGAGATTCCAGATCATCCCTTCTGCTTTGTTCTGCCAGCAAAATAAAATAAAATTAACATAAAAACTAATTCTAAGTATTGGTTGTCAAAACCAATCTGAATGGACTAACACAACATCTTACTCACCAATTCCAAGATGAGTGTTGACACTTGCATACCGAGCTGTGCCTGTAAGGTTCTTGTTTTCCCTATGCAAGAAAGACAGCTCTTTATATCAAAAGAAATGTGAATTTAAAAATTAAAAAAAAAAAAAAACTTAAGAAATAGAACTATGATGAAAATTAAAGTGAAAGAGTATATTTTTGGAATATTTGGTATCATAGATGCCAAGTCATGCAAGGCTGTAAACACAACCACATTTAAGATAATTGACAGTGATCCCAATTATTATTATTATTACTATGAAAATGAATTATACCAGTACTAATTACATTTAGGTAAAGACTATCCGGTTGAAAAATGGCACAATACCTATAAAAGTGATTTGATGTAAATGCTTAAATCCAAAGAAGACATGCAAATGCAATTAATAAGGCAACAAAAGGTTATGTTTTCTTTTAAGTGTTGTTAATACTTTATATATACTACACCTTAATATCCTGAAATAATGATGACAAAATATACCTGTATGGTATGTGCCTATGAGTCTGAAGATCCCTATACTTTTTTGCAAGGCCATAGTCAATGATGTACACCTGAAATGACATACCCAGCAAGACAAGAACATAGTTAAAAGAATTGATACTTGCATGATCAAATAGAAAGGATCATTTCAGAATCTGTCAATCATTTATTTCAGTAGCGCCCAAGAGGATTCCATTGAAATAGACTATAAGTACAAGATGGTGAAATTCATTGCAATGACATGAAATGAGCCACAGATGAAATGAGATGCCCAATCACTTTGCGTGTATGCTTGTGAGTTTCAAGTTGTAGAAGGCCATGACATGCCAAAACCAGAGGCAGGATGAGGTGTGAGGTGCTGCCCTCGTGGTTTTATTTGCTGTAGAAAATGACTCCTAAACCTCCACTTAATCACTCTTAACCAATTAGGTATCAAACAGGACAAAATAGAATAACCAGTTACCACTGGGCAGTGGTTTCTCACAGTTTTTCAAATGACCGTTGTATTTTTCTTGGGTTCTTTCTCATCCTAGCAAAGATACATATTCTGCTTTTTTTTTCTTGTTCAACCTGAAGCAAGTTTATGCAACTTAACTTCTTACACAAACTGGTAGCATATCACCATCATTTTATGACTTCTCTTGAAACTATAAAAGAATAATTTGGTTCAGCTGGAGGAACACCCCTTATTTATAGTTTGTTTTGGAAGATTTTGGTTGTTGTTTAATTGTTTTTATATAAATGTTAAGAAATTACTTGTTTTAGTAGTTCTTAGTCATGTGTGTAATGCACATTTTATAATTCAAATAGTGCAAGATAACTCTAAGAATAATAAATTGAAAGAAGGCGCCATCAACAAAACAATATACCTGGTTTGCTTTACGTCCCAGGCCCATCAAAAAATTGTCTGGCTTAATGTCACGGTGAAGGAAACCTCTAGAATGCATATATTCAACTCTGTTAATCTGAACAATAATATTAAACAAGTAAAACATTAGTAACACTATCTAAGCAGGGTACTTTGCTTAGATAATAGTTGCCATGTTGACTTACTAATTGATCAGCAAGCATTAACACTGTTTTCAATGTTAGCTTCCGGTTGCAATAATTGAACAAATCTTCTAGACTAGGTCCAAGAAGATCGATTGCCATGATATTGTAGTCTCCCTCTACTCCAAACCACTTGAGATGGGGAATCCCCGCTTCAATAAGAAACCAAATTGGATTACTCAAAAGGAAACATCTTAATTGTTTTCTGATCTTTTTCAGTCTTACATTACTTTGAGGGAATGGCTTGAGACTACTGGTTTAGATTTCATTAGAAGAAGCATTGGGACATCAATTACGCTATCCTCCAGACTCGGGATGAGAGGACACAAATACACACACAACTATTGAGAACCAATTTTAATGTGAAACTTAAGCACGTGGTATTAAGTTATTAACTAATACAATTAGTCCCAAAAATGGTAAAAGGAAATAGAGATTCAGACTTACTTCCTCCTTGAAGAAGCATATACAATTTTGACTCATAGTGAAGCTGGGGATGCTTGGTCTTCACAGGTTCCTGGAAATTTTATGAGGAGAGAACAAGTGATTTAAGAACAAAAACACAGAATATAATGAGCAGACTAATATCATTAACTGATATAAAATAAAAAATTAAAAAAAATCTCAAAACACAACAAAAGAAAGAATATGACAAACAATCTATGATAAACTGCAGCATAATAATGCGAACTTTATGCATCTATAACAAGATAATGTAGCATTTTACATGCCACTGCAATCCATAAAGTAATCTTATTGATTTCTTGAAAATCTCAAGCATTTCTCAGTAAAAGAGTGAGAAAGATTTTTTTTTTCCTTTGTTATTCACTCCAACAATATTAAACAATATCTCACATCAAATGCCGGATCCTTATTGGAACTCCCATAGCATTGATAAAAAATAAATAAAAGTATAGCACACTTCATCATCTGAAGTAACAATTTACAAAACGGAATTAAAAAGTCGTAAAATGTAAAATGCGCAATACATTTATTACATTGTCTTAAAAAGTAAAAAACATGCTCCACAGAGTAAATCAAGGTGACTAGTGATTAGTTCATACATGCACATATTAGACACATGAAATCAGAAACAGAAACGCATCTATGGATCTCTAGAAATTCGTTTAAGAGTGTTGGCTACTTGATCACTTTGCCCCATCCAGACATAAAAGACGCTTAAAAAGTTGAAGAGAGTTTAACATACCAGCTTGACAGCTACCTCCTCTCCAGTTTGTATATTAACAGCTGACACAGAGAACAGAAATAACAATAATTTGTTACAAACCATATAACAATCTATGATAACACTGCAAAAGGAAGATTACAAACACAGCTTAGAGAAAGGAAAAGGGGGTAAAAAAACATGAACAAGTACCTATATAAAGCTCCCCAAAAGACCCACTTCCAATCTTCCTTCCCAGTTTAAACTTCCCAGCAATAACATGATCCATCATAAAAGACCTTCAAAACACCCACACCCAGTAACTACAGCAAGCCTTTCCGGCTCAGATTTGTTCCCAAATTCTGTGCACAAAGAGGTCCACCAGGTCAAAATTTCCCAGCTCTATCGAAGAATCCACTCAAATCCAGCGAAATTTTTCAATCTATTCGTCCGATTAGCCGTGAAAGGGGAATATGGAACAAATCCACAATCAGGGGCAAATAAAAAAGGTGCAAAATTTACAAAATTTCTAACACCCTCCACAATGAAGCTGAAATCTTTTCTTATTCAGAACAAACACAACCCTCTCTAGCTACATTACTTTCCTACAAATACCCAAAATCGATCACTCCAGAGCACGGATTGAAGCCCTAATTTGCAAAGAAGATGAGCGCATTGACCCAGAACAGAAAATGCTAATGGGTACCAGCAACAACACACAAAACTGAATCTTTTTTATTATAATGAAAAAACAAAAAGAGAAAGAACAAGAGGAGGAGATTGAGGAGGGTGTGCTGAACCAGGTAGGAACAAGAGTAATTCCACAAATCAAAAAGTATGGACTTTGGAGAGAGAGAGAGAAGAATGAGAAAAAGGAAAAGCTGGCAGGAGATTATAGTAATCGTTGGTGTGTTTTGGGGTTCTATTTAAAAATTAATTTTTTAGTTTAATTATTCTTTACTTTTTTATCTATGCTTTTTTAAAAAAAATTTCCAGTAAAACTGTGTTTCAAGAAAAAAAAAAAAAAAACAAATTGTAGATAGTGACTAAACGGATTAACCGCTACCTTCTCTATCTACTCCTCATGCTAGTCAAAAGTCAAAACTGCTTCCCTTCGTTTCTTTTTTTTTTTTTAATTACTTTTATTAATTACTTATCTCTCTTTCTTTTCATTAATTGCCTAGTATTTTGAATCATAAAAAAAAAAAAAAAAACACATTCCAGAGTTGTTAGGATAACAAATATACTTGTACTTGTGGGTAATACCTAAACCTGTCTCGACTTTGACAAAAAATATTCAATTTGACTGAGTATGGGATAAAACTTGATATATTAAATTGGATAGTGTATATATTTACTCATCACATACCTTTTCTGTACTCGTACTCGTCCTCGTTTTCATTCCTAATTTAATATCCATTTCTGATTTAATTATGTTAAAAAATATTTATTTTATTATATATAATTATTTATTATAATATGAGATAAAAAATAATATAATTATAATTATAATATAATAAAAAATTAATTTAAAAATATTATATATTTTTTAAAAATAATAATAATAATTTTTAACGGATACAGATACAAATACGGGTATATCCGATATCCAACTGTGACAAGGATAGAAATAAAAATTATATATTTGATGGGTATGAGAATGACAATAGGTTTAATTCACAAAAATAAAAACAAGTATCATAAAACTCGTACTCAACCCAATGTTAGCCGTAGTAGTTGTCCATAGCATCATTCCCAATTCGACTTTTACATACTTTGAGTTTTACAGCTGTGTAAAGAAACTGTATTCATCCTCATGTATGCTTTTATACATACTATAGGGAAAAAGGTGTTACGTCTTTCCTTATAAAAAAAAAATTGATAGTTTTTTTTTTTCTAATGTGAGCAATTATTTGGATTACGTGAGTTATAAAGGGTGAAACTTATAGTAAAATAAATTATCTTGAAATGTTGTGTAAAATTGCACCACCTATTCGTATATTAATATTTTTTTTAATTAACAATAATATTTATTAATAAGTTACATAATTATTATTTTAATTAAAATAAATTTGGTATAATGATTTTCCTATGGATGTGGCACGATTGCATAAATCTATAGCCGTGTAGATAAGAGGAATTGAATAAGTAAAAGCAATTATTGTAAACCTAAAAGGGTCACTATAGTATATACAGAGGAACGTGCGATCAATTATAAGTCCTATTATTTCTCTCAAGAAAAGCTAGATAGTAATTAATGAATTGGCCAACAAAAACATAATGATGAAGTTTTGTATCATTCATAGAGTACACGATTGCAATCAATTGATAAAATATATATATTTTTAGTGTTTTATAATGAAAAAGTATTTTCACTATTTTGTGTTTTTTACCCGTTAATAGGATTGTTATCTTATGCACTATGCACTAATGTAGCTACATTTGTTTGCTTGTTATAACTGCTTTATCTCGTAGCAACTTGTTTCTTATCTTATAACAACTTGTTCTCTGAGTTGTCTATACATATGCACTCTCCCAGGATGCTTTTTTAGAAGTTAAATTGTATTTTTACTTTTTATAATATCTAATGTAAGTTTTAGTTTTTATAATTTTAGTTTTAAATTTTGAAAAACGTGAAATTTTATTTAATTATTAAATATTTTATTTTAATTATTAAAAATTATAATTATAATCATAATATAATAATTAATATTTAATAATATTTAGATTATATTATACCTATTAATAACTTAACAAGTTATTGATCCATAACTATTAATTCGAATAATACTCGATGAGTCTCTTTAAATAAGATTTGGACAAAGTTAATAAAGACTTTGAATATTTTTAATTTTTATTTTTATCTCATAAAAATAATAAAAATAAATTTAAATGGATTAAAAAATAAGGATAAAAAATTACACTTTTAGTTTCATTTTCATTTCATTAAAATTAGTAAGAATATATGAAAATAAATTAAAAATGAAGACAGAAACTACAATTTAGTTTTAAAATTATTGAATATTAATTATCAAATTATTTATTTAATATCAAATTACAATAAATATTATAATTTAATGATCAACAACTAAACATTTAAGAGATAAACCTAAATTGTGATATTTCATAAATTTAATTATTATTATATAGCAAATATGACAAACTATCAGCATGGTATATCATGGTTGATAAATAATCTTGTTATTTAAATATGTGATGAGGAGCTTAATTCCTTACGAATGTGAATGAAAAACACGTTAAGAAAAATTAATTTTTTAAATAAATTTTAGTACCTTAATATATTAGTCTTTATCAAACATATTATAAGGGTGTTGATCCTTTAATAAATCAATTCATATACAGTGTTACATAATAATAATAATGTTCCGGCCACGGGGTGCACTAGGGTTTTTCCTAGATCAAGCCGCAAAGCCAGAGCATTCAAAAAGTGTAATCTGCCTTCTTAGCCTTAGGGTTTTAGGTTTTATATTTCGTCGTCCATGGGCTTTATGGGCCCCGTGAACGTAGGGATTTCCTCAACCGTTCTTGCTACGATGCCGCGCAACGAGTGAGGATTAGTCAAGTCGGATTTTGACCGATTATGCATGTGCCAAGGGTCCAATCGGGTATGCGCCGAGAGGTCCCCTTATAGGCGAGTGGAGACGGCTCGCTTAGGGATGTCAACTCGGTTGTAGGCGAGTTGCTTCCAATCAGACAGAGGATCAAGTCGGGTTTTTACCTAGAGGGTACACCAGTCGGATTTTTACCGAGAAGGTACACTAGCCTTCCAGCCCTGAGCCGATAAGGCGAGAGGGCTTGTGGCCTGGTAACATAGTCGGGTATCGACTGAGTAGAGATCAGTCGGATTTTTACCAAGACGGTACACTAGCCTTCCAGCCCTGAGCCGATAAGGCGAGAGGGCTTGTGCCTTGGCTTGTGGCCTGGTAACATAGTCGGGTATCGACCGAGT